TTAGCAGTGTTTGGGTTTAGGAGCCATTACATTATTGTGAAATATGCACACTGTTGGTGGATGCTTAAAGCTCTGCTACACAGTGGCATAAACTTAGTATTAATTTTGGCTCCATAGAGGAAATTGAAAATGGTGCCCTTGAAATCATTACACTGGCTGAAATTCAGCAACAGGGGAAAAGACAGCCTGGAGGGAAATAATAAAAAATTTACTGCAGGCAGCTGAAAGACCTTGTGAGACTTGCTCAGCCCAGGCACAGAGGATGATATTGGAGCAGCATGGTGAGATGTGGGTGGTTCTGGCATCAGAGCCCCAACACCACAGCTGCCCCTTCCTTAGCCCCAAGCTGGTAGAAAAGATGACTTTTTGTCTGTGAAGTATCATTTGCTCTAACTTTAGCCCTATTTATGTAACTTTATGGGGCTAAGGTACAACATTCCTGGAGGGACTAAGCTGAGGAAAAAGCCTGTTCCTACACCCCTAGAGTGGTATTCATGTCTGCCAGGGTCATTCTGCCCCTGCGTACTGTGCACAGGCAATACTTCAAAGGATGGTACCCAAGTCTTACAGACTATATCCTGAGAAGTGGTACATACGATGAATTCAACCATTTATCCAGTCATTCAGTACCCTGCATCTACCAAACCGCTATTGCTTACAGTGCCCAACACAGGCAGGGTTGTGTATCACCCTCTGCAAACCCAAAGGGAAATATGGCACATCCCAACTGCTGCATCACAAGCTTCTGCTGGTAAGAGACACAGATGGCAAAAATGAGTGTGCCTGCTTTTGTAAATGTATATATAAAAATAAAAAAGCCCACTTCAGCTGACATCCCAAAATATTGTCCCTGCTGACTGCATGTCCTGACCATTCTGGATAGAGCTGTGCAGAACCTGAATGACCAATGCTGGTCTGTAGGTGCAAGGGATTTAAAGTCTATTTCAGTAAGCATCAGAAATGTGAACTTTACTGAACTGAGATAAATCCTTGGATCTCATCCACATAGAAAGGAAATACTCAGAATTCATCTGAGAGTTGACTCAGACCTGCCCTTTCAACCTCATATCCTGACATTACAACTTACCTATATAAAATAATAATAATAATAAAAAAACCTAAAACCTCTACTGGGGCTTCAGCAAGCAGCAGAACTGAGCCCAGAGCAAGAGGAAAAACAAAAACAAAAACAAGCCAAAACCAAAGAAACCCAGAAAAACAAACCCTTGAATAGCACCATGGGAACAGCTGCTGGTGTGTGCTCTCCTTCTCTGGCTTAGGAGAGCAAAACCCTGCAGCTGGAGCAGAAGCGAGAACCCATCTCAACCTGGGCCCCACTAGGACAACAGGTCACAGGCATTAGCTGGGTGATGACAAAGCAGCTGTTCCCGCTACCCCAAAGCCCGTGAGGAGCTGCAGGGATGGCTCCACAGCAGCAGCAGCAGGATCCCCAGTCCCCCCAGCTCATCCCCACAGCTGTGGGGGTGCAGCCCATGGAGTGATGCCAGCCCTGGGGGTGCAAGCCCCCAGCAGGTTTTGGAGGAAAGCAGTGGATTTTCTTACTCTTTACAAGGATTTGCAGGAACAGAGGTCTGGCTTGGCATGGCTCAGATTAGTTCTCATATGAAGAAAACTGTGCTTGGCAACACAGCTGCCCTTTATTTAATGCAGACTGTGTGTGCTCCCCACTCCCAGTCTGAGCATAGCAAGCATTACCTCACCAACTGGATACAATTTCTCAGCTCCCTGACTTCAGTAAAAATTCTAACACCTGCAAACTTTTTAAACAAATTATGTCCATCAGAGTAGAACCCCACACACACACGTCAGGAGCCATGCATCTTGAAACCAAATCCTCTAGAAGACATCTGGTCCATGCTGGTGTCGTTATTACAAGGCTCCCCCGTGGTGCCAGTGGCAGAGAGCCCACGGACGTGCTCCACAATAGCCGCTCTGTAGCCCGGGCTCCCTCTGCCACACTGAGCTGCCTGGGAAGCTGATGGATTTGCTTTCAGGAGAGCCTTAAGACAAATAATAACTAAAAAAACCTCCTCTGTTTGTAAACATAAATAAAACAATGGAAAGCAAAGGGTGAATCCTGCAAGTGCCAGTGCTGAAGGGATGTTAGTGCCTGAAGCCTTTATACCATGGAGGCTTTTATCACAGATACATGCACTGGGATACTAGGAAAAGTGTCCAGGCTGCAGAGGCTGTGGAGCAGGGAAGGAGAGGTCTTCAGCTTACATTCCTGGGTACAGTCTTCTGCAAAACTGCTTTCCCTTCCCAACCCAGCAATAAAACAAGTGTATACTTAAGCTCTTGAGTAGCTGCTAACTAGGAGTTGAGCGTTGGGTGTGTTGAGAGCAGCATGTTTTCACCAGACCTGAGGCCCAGGATTGCATAATTCAGGTATGTGCAAATAGATTTGCTAGAGTGGGTTCCAAGAAAAGGCTCTTCATCTAAAAACCCCCTTCTTTTCTTTTCAGCCAGACGCTTAAAGCACAATTCCCTTCCCAACAATAACATGAAAGAATGACAAAAGATGCCACAAACCCCCGCCTCTCCAAAGCCCTGCAGCAGAAGGGCCCACGTGCAAAACTCATGAGCAACCTTTGTTCTGGTGGCATTTCCAGCCCAGTCACTAGGTCAGAGAGAGCACACACAAGTGTAATTAAACATCCAGGCTGTCTAGTGTTGCTTTATTATCACCGGAACCTTCCCACTGCTTCTCTAGCAAGACCTGAGGCACATAATCCTGACAATGAATTAATAAGTTTTATCTTGGTTGATTGACCCAGACTTTGGAGCCATAGGAAAAAGAACAAGGGCTTAAAGTTCAGCAGAGCTCAGCGTCAAGCATCACTCCTAAATGACACCCCAGAGCTCAGCAGAAGCAGTTTGACTTTCCTTACTCAATGTCACTAGCAGCCTGTGCAAACCAAGCAAATGCTGCAATTAGTATCAGAGATAAACCAGATCCATTAGTAGATGGAAAGGGAACTCAATCTGTTTTACAAATGGAAATGAAGTAGCAGCCTCAATTATAGGATTTTTAAAAACATGCAATTTAGCAAAATGTTGATTTCCTTTTCGTTTACTTCATTCTTTGTCTTTTAGATACTTCAGCTCAAGTAGCAGGCAGTATATTAACCAACCAGATTTTGGCAATGTATTTAATAATCAAGCTCAAATAAGTGCTCTTAGGAAATAATTTTATTTACAGTTCAGCTGGGGAAGAATATTAAAGCTTGAGTATTTGGGTAAAATTATTATCCTACAGTAATATATTTTGAAGGCATTTGGGCTGTAGATGTCTAGTACTAGTGAGTCAGAGCACAGTATTTGACCCTTCAGAAAATTCATAATCTGTTTAGGACACAGGGCAGGATTTGCCATCCAGCTTCACTCAGCCAGGGTGGGCAGCCACTGCCACCAACAGTTCTAGTACCTCCGTAACCCACCCCATCCCCTAAGTCCCAGCAGGAAGGTTCCTGGCAGGCAACAGAATCATTCCTAAGCTACCAGACTCCCTCCTCCATACAGTTGCTTTACACATGGATATATTTTACCATTCTGCAGCAGGACTGGAGTTTGGAAACACTGCATGAAGATATTTTAGCATGCACATGCCTGTATAATAATTTTTTTTCTTTAATTGGTCCAGCCCACGTTACTGTTTAAATAATTGAAGGTGCTGAGCATTAAACATATTTTGCCATGCTTTCTCCATGGCACCTTTCCCACTCCAAAATGTCTGGAATCTGAACAGAGACTAAGCATTAACTAATTAAATTTCTCCAAACAAAGGTTAATTAGTGTGTTTATTTTGGATTATGTGTGTATTGAATTATTAAACACTATATGGTACTATAAAAAAAAAAGAAAAAAAAAGGCAGGATGAAGGGAGGAAACATTCCTGAGCCCAAGGAACAGTTTCTCTGGCTACCATGCAGCTACATTAACCATTTATTCACAATTTCAGCACTGCGCTTCTCCACCAACCATCATCACCTGGGGGGATTGAAGGCTAAAAGCACAAGCCTTCCCCAGTCCACAAGGGAGGTCCAGCAGCCCTGAACTGTGACTATAGGAGATTCATGTCATCTTAGAAGGATGAATAGCATAGATGCAGGGAACCCATACTTGGCTCAGGATAACATTATACTGAACGCCTTATCCAACACACACACATGCTCCTTTTGTGGGCCGGTTTGCTGTGCCAGACACAGCAGCTGCCAAGGACAGAAGGTCCCTCACCCGGGCCTTTGGACAGGAGTGTCCTCTTCTTCCTCCATGCCCCCACCACACCCTTCCTTTTTGCTCCCAAGGTGGAAAGTTTGCAATATGCAGCCTATGTTCCAAATATTTCAGTTATACAATTATCTGTAGACCAAGATAATGACTGGAGTCCAAGAGCAAGACCACGCTAAAAGAAACAAGCTGGTAAAGATTCAGCCAGGTTCTAGTTCTCACCCTATAACGGTAGAATCAAACCACACAGGATATATGGATAAACCACTTGGAACACATAAGAGGTAGGAAGATAAAAGCTACTACCGGTCACATTGCAATTACCTGACAGCACATAAATATACATACCTGCCCTGAAAGGAAGGCACAAGGGGCACTATTTTCAAAGAATAAAGGAATCTAAAAAGCTTTCTTCCTTTCTCAAGTTTACTGCATGGAGCAGTGTTTCCTATATGCTTGGCCTACAGCAATGGGAACAGCATCAGATTTATCTACTTTAAGCATTTTCAGCATGCTATCATGGTGGGTTTAAGATACATTGTATCTGAAGACTCTTGTGACAGCTGACATGAGAATCTTTCTTCATCACCAGAATAAGCCTTTGTATTTTAGCTTTCAATTCATTTTCTATACCAACAGAAGTCCTAAACTAGTTACAAAACATATCTCTTCTTTCAAAGCATCCTGCATTGCTACAGTGAACAATAACCAGCTTGACAGCCCAAATAGCAAAAGAAAAGTAAACTCACAGGCACTCCTCAAATGAGAGAATATTCCTGAGTTGCACTTATCCAGAACCCAGCCAATACCTATAGAAACTTCTCTCCTGCTGCCCCACATCAGTAGAATATCAGCTTCAATGTAATATTGGAGATGGAGTTTCCAAGGATGCTGTCAGACAAGCTTTGCTGGCACTTGCAAGGGGGATGAAAAGGACAGTTGGTTGAGGATGGGCATCAGAAGCAAAAATGGGTCAGTTCCTGGTTTGTCACCTTGTGATTGTCTTGTTGTGATTCCAGCAGTGTCTGCAGGAGCAATCAGAGCTGCACCTGACACCTGCAGAAGAGGCAGAAGTAGCTTCAGCTGCTTGTTCTCACCCTGATGTCCTGTTCCTATCCCTCTAAGTCAGGATTACTTGTCAGTCCTGAATCCCTGCCTAGACTGCCAGTTATTTGCCACCAGACTTTTTTTTTATTATTCATTAGGAAGGCAAACCTAATTAAAGTTACTTTATTGAGGGACCTTATACCAACAGTTGCTTTAAAGAAGCAAATTGTTAAAGCCAAAACTCCTTTTTATTTTTAAACTCAAATATTTTTGTCCTGCTGTAGGAAGAAAAAATACATATCTTTGAATGATGAATCAGAAATCTGATTTTATTCCCCTTTTCTCTTTTCCTAATAGTTTTATGTTTCACATTCATATCCTTTGGGAAAATGCCTGGGAAACTTTTCTGATGATATGTTGAAGGTCATCTACAGTAAATGTGAGACAAAGCGAACACAGATCTCAGGCTTTGCAAATGTTCATTATGTAAATTACAGGAGCTGTGAAGATGGAAATGAGGCATACAGATGCTGTTATGCACGAAAAAGCAGAGGGGAAACTTCAGATTTCACTACAGAGGCAGTTGGTGTCTACAGGCACTCTCTTCCCTGTAGTATTTCTAGCATAAAAGGTCTCAGATTCTCTGTTATTTCAGAAATTACTAGCTCTGTGGTTCTCAGTGAAGGCCAAGGACTGGGACAGATCTTTAAACTCATCACACATCTGGAGAGAATTGAGGGCCAGATGCAGCTGCAACCTAGATGGGAGGAAATGGGGAGGGTGTCTGTGCAGGGCAACTGTGAATGCCTGTCTAGTATCTTTATTCCTGGGATTAGTCTTTTTGATTGCCCTTAGTCAAGACTAGTCCTGAGGAGGAATGTATCTGTGTTGTGAATTGCAGAGCAGAGATGCACAAGTGGAGGAGATAAAGATTCAGCACTTGATTTCATGCATCCTTGGGCATATCACTTGGAGGCCGTATTTTGAAAGATGTTAGAGATCAAAGGATGAAGAAAGATAACAGCTTCGTTTTCAGATCTATTCCTGGGCATGTATTTCCTGAGCATTTCAATAGGAAATGAGTACCTTTGTGGGTTTTGTGTTGTTGGGTTTTTTTTGGAGTTGGTTTTGTTTGTTTGTTGTTTTTTTTTTTTACTAAATGCCTTTGGGTAGCTGGTTTTATCATGAGAAGCCAACATATATTTAAATGGCATACCTTAACTTGCACTTTGTTTCAGTTTAACACCTGAAAAGAAAGGAGTGTGAATCTCCATTTCTTAGTTTTCTCCCAGGTCTTGCTCAGGTTTGAGGCACAATTCTACTCTAAGCAATAAAAACCGTTAAGAGATACTTTAGGCCTTATTTCAAGAAGTGGTGAGTACTCAGTAGGTAATTGGAGCTACTGGTGTTCAGCAGCCTTTTGAAACTCTCCTGCAGTGTTGCAAGTTCAGTTCTTCAATAATAAAGAAATCAAAAACTTGAGGCTGCTTTTGGTATTTTGGGCTTTAAAACTCCTTAGGGAAGCTGGAACACAGACATATTGACAATTGGGTGGAAGGACAATGCTGAGTCAGGTGCTCTCTCATCAGGGGACTGGCACTACCCAGGGCAGATGGAATGGGAAAGAAGGACTGAGCCTTCCCCCTCAGCCTCATTACAGATCTGCCCTGACCTGCAGGGAAGAAAAAAAAAAGAAAAAAAAGAAGCAGAGTAACACTGAAGGGAAATTCCAACTCCCTGACCCTGGGATGACCTCATCCTTCATGTTAACAGAGCACCAAACAGAAGAAAAATTATTAAATTGCCTCAAAATGAAAAAAAGAAACAAAGCAGATTTGTTGAGTCATCCAACAGTGTTCACGTCAAGATATTTTGTTAGCAACTGTGCTAAAAGAGTAAATGTAACATGTTCTGGTTTGGCTCTTCCTTTAGCAGTGAGATTGATTTGCATTCATACATGAAAATCTGGTTTACAACAGGGTTCTCCTGCCTCTTTCTTTCTTTCATTGCTTCCATCATGTATCTTGGCTAGAAAATCTGCTCTTGTGAACCCCCACCACTAGACAAATCCTGGGCAGACCATTCCCCACCATGCACATGTTTTCTTCAAGCAGTTTATTTTTTTTCTGAAAGGCTGTTTTGAGAAACAGGAAGGTTTCGTCCTTGGCCACACTGAGCTCCTGCACGCACCACGCTGGGTGAGCGAAGCCTCACTCCCCAAGGAGGAACTTGTCCTCCACAAGCCCCAGGTTTCGTAACGCACATAGGAAACATCTTGCGCTGGCCTTGATTTATGCAGAAATGTTAGCTAATCTCTTTTATGTAATCACCGATAGCTGCTTCTAAAGGCTAAGTCCCCAAAATGGAAGGAATGAATTAAAAGAGACAGATGTGGTTTGGCTGACTCTTTGTTCCAACAACGGCCTCAGAAATAACCTAGTTAGTTTGTGCTGATTTATGCAGGGTCAAATACGTTGCACACCCACCCAGAGAGGAACATACAGGTTATTTGCTGTTCAGACCAGTTTCACAGGCTGATCCCACTCACACCAAAGCCACTGGAATTGCTCCAGGTTTATTCGGCTGAAATGCGATCAAAGTCTGGTCAAAAGTCGCACTAAGACTGGCTTTTCGCTTACCCTGGATCCCCTTGCTTAGCACCAGTGCAGGCTTTGGGAACTAAAGGCATACCTTTCCCACTCAAGAGCTGGCTGCCTCTGTTCAGCCAGAATGACTCAGGGAAGGCAAATCTCTGAAGTACCTTCTGCAGTATCTTCAGGTTCATACCCTGCACCCAGAGTACTGGTCAAGAGCCACTCTGAGGCTCAGTGATCCACCTGGCTGATGTGGTTACCAGTTGACCAGTCCACAGGCATAACGGCACCTGAAGGAGTAATGTATCCCAGCATGCCCGGACACTTGAGATGCACAGACCTATCAATCAAACATACATTCAGGGGTGGGCAGGGTGCGAACATGCCTGGTGAGAGACTCAAAATCCTGCTCCTGGGAGAGAAGACACAGTGTCTGCTCAGCCATCTTGCCTTCCCTGCTTAGAAATAGATGCCTCTTGTTTCAGGGACTGAGCCGTTGCCTGGCTCATGCACACTGACGAAAGACCCTCCTCTTAACTTTTTTCCCATGGAAAAATATTACTGAATAGGGCTGTGTTTACATTCCCTTCCTCCACCAAAGGCTTCCCTGCCATGGCTGACTTCAGGGGTAGCTGGAGCAGTCCCACAGGCTTTAGAGAATATTTTCTCATTTTATGTAAACTGAGCATTGGCTTTGTAAAAAGGGAAAGATTTATGCTTGGCAAACATTTCCAAGGAGCCAGTATTTCCCCTTTACTTACTCGTGGCTTGTGAATAAAATCCTCACACAGCTGGTACCTCCACTAATGATCCCATTACAATATGTATTGAGCTGATACTCTGTGATATCTCATTGAGGTATTCATCCATGTCAGAAAGGATTTGCCCATAAAAACATCTCCTCTCATACCGTCATAGGATGCTGCATTCATTCCTCCTTTCTCTGTCATCTGGTGCTGCCTAATCCCACTCACTGACATCAATCACAGGAGGAAAATAAGACAATTAGCTGGCAATTAATTAAATTATAAACTGTAAGGAAGAGCAGAATATTTGTAAACCTTAATAGCCTTATTAACATGCACATTACAAGCTAGTTGCACAATCTTATGGCTATGGATATCTTTATACATCCATGACATCACAGAGACCTTAATCACAGGGTAACCATTGTTCACCTCAAAGGGCTGCACAGCGGTTCAAGGAACCTGCCCGGCCAGCCTGAAGCCATGACCATACAGCTGCTTTACACCTCCCTGCCCATGGAAAGCGGGAGTAAAGATCACTGGAGCACATGCTATGCAGCAGCATCCCACCAGCTGTGGGTCCTGCAGTGTCCATGCTGTGATCAGGCTAGGAAGGTGTGGGTGATTCTCTGCAGACAAATGTTTTCTGCACAAAACAGGCATCTCACGGTGTGCATGGGCAGTGGGGAGCTCTACCCAACCCCTAGCCTCTGTGATCCAGGCTATGAGTATATTGACCTGCAACAACTCAGAGACAGTCACTCGGTACAGGGCTGTCTCTGGGATGGATCAGGCACCTGATGGTCAGGAGTGGTGAGCCCTGGCTCCTTCCCCTGTTCCCTTCTCAGCTGGGCAGGCTGCTGGCTTTTCTGTCACAAGGACACACATGCATTGGGCTGGGGCTGAAGTCTGAAATGGCACTGGTGACAGTAACAATGATTATCATTATATAATAGGTATGTAATGTGGTTTTGGTTAAAGCGATTTCCTGCAGGACAAAGGGAAAGTAAGTGGGAAGAAAACGTCTCGGGTAAGGCACCCTCTGCAGAATTGCAGCAGCTGCTACAAGGCAATGGCACCAGGTCCGCCACTGAAGAACTGAGCTCAAAACTTAATGCACCCAGTAATGGTGCCTGACCTTTGTTTAAAGGTCACAAGAGAGGAGGAAAAAACCCCAACCCAACCCAAACAATCCATGAGTGACAGCATGAAGCTATATCCAGCCCCAAATGAGGTACCAGGACCCAATGGCATTGCAGTGGTCATGTTGCCACAGTATCACTGCATGGTCCTCAAGTCCCCTATGAATAACCCTCACACAAAACCCTCAAGGTATGCTCTTTCTTATCATGCTATTTCTATAATATTTTGCCTTGGAAAGGTGACTGAATCAGTCCCTCTAATACACACCAAATCCCTGACTTTCTCCTAGTCTATTTGTTCCAAATGAAGTACTTTATTGAAGTAGGAAAGTGACCTACTAAGGTAGGGAAATTAGAGTGTGGAAGATGGAATTAGCTGTAAATCAGGTTTGCCTCCAATGGCAGGTACCGCCCAGCTAGACTCTGCCATCTTCCTTCTGTCAAACTCAGCTGCATCCCAAATCTCAGCCATGTTAACTCTGGTTCCAGTCCAGTGTTATTTCTGTAACATGTGAACTGGGATGACATGTACCCAGCCCATTCATTTATTTGTGGAGTGTGGACTGCTGACCAATATCTAAGTGCTAATAAAAGCAATGTTCTCTCTCCTGTGCCATTCTGTGCTAGCTACTGGAGACAGGCTGGACCTTCGGGCATACGGTGTTCACTGTGAGCAGATCTGGGGTCACCACCCAGCTGCAGCTTAAGGTTTTCATTCTTAATTCTGATGGAGCTGCATTGGCACATTGTTTTCTCCCCCAGTGCAGCTCTGTATTTAGCCAGGGATTCTGTCCTTGGCTTATTTTTTTCAGCAAGATTTGTAGCTAATGCTGCTCTGCTGTCAGTATGCCTGGCTCCCTTGTCAATGCACAGCTTGTTCTTGGGATGCATGAGGCAGTCAGATGTGACAGAAGCTGAGAGGTTTCTTTCACAGCTAGGAAGGGAGAGAAGGGAGCCAAGCATTTCCATACCCACCCTAGGAGCTCTGGTCCCCATGAAGGGCTGGAATTCAATACTGACTGGTGCTGGGAACACCCACATTCAGTTAACCTGACTGCAGTGCTCGCTGAAGGATAATTGGCTCTGAGGAGACGTTACAGCAAGAAAAAATAAATTAATCAGACAATATGGGACATCAGACATTTTAAACATAACCCAGGGTGAAGTTCCAAGAACCTGTGATGACCAAGGGCCATGGCCAGATTCCCTAACACCAGATCTCACACCTGGAGAAATTCCGACCTCTGTGGAATTGCCTGGGCTGGTGCTGGGACCAGTGAGATCAGAATCTGGCCCAGATTCTGGCCCAGATTCTGATCTCACCCGCCAAATCACTTGGCCTCCTGCTGCACCCCATGCTGTAACTATCCATGATGTTGACACATTCAACTTGCCACTCATTTGTGGGACTAATTACACATTCGCATTTGTCTGTGCTCACTCGGCTCCTAGCAACTGCAGTCACAGTCCTAATTAAAATAATAGACTGAGATTGGTAACATTACTGATTTAACAGGAAATTAGAAGAGTTATGTTCGCAGAGCTTAGGTAATTGACACCAACAGCGCTTTTCTTGTAATGTGCATTCTGTGATTGATTTTGTTCCCCAGTCAGACCTAAAAGCAGCTTGAGAGCACATCCCACCATCAGATTACAGTAGAGAGGAATTAAATGACTATTACACCACTGCCTGCTCTAGAGCTGGCAGCTGTGGGCTTGAGCACAGCTCTGAACTTCCAAACCAAACATCAGACCTAAAATTGAAACCTAATGTAAAACAAAACATGTTCAGCACGATGTGTTCAGTTCCCCTTTTAAGAGCTACCCTGCAAGGTGCTCATCTGACAGCGCTCCTGCCCAGGAAGAGGGCTGCAGTTGGCAACTTGTGTGTCCTTGGTTGCCTCAAATACCAACTCCCTTAAAACAGGGCATGGCATAAACATAACGTAGCTTCCTGCAGGCAGATGGAAAGGCTCTGGGCACACCACTGACTCTTCAATACAGAGGGAAACTCTGGTCATACCATGGTGGAGCTGAGAGCAGATGGTGATGGGCAATGTTCAAAGCTTTGCTGTTCTAAACCCACCCTGCAGTTTAATCCACACAAAGGAGTTCTGTGTGTGGTTAATACTGCAAGGCAGCCATGGGTGGCATGGTTTAGTGGGAGGTGTCCCTGCCCATGGCAGGGGGGGTTGGAACTAGATGATCTGAAGGTCCTTTCCAACCCTAACTATTCTATGATTCTGTGATTCCCCTTCTGTAAGGGGAATCAGATTTCTGGAGATGGTCCTGCTCATTCTAATGGTTATGTAAGTCAAAATGGGTCCATACTAGCTTCAGAAAGGTGAATCAGACTTTTTCTGTCTAAGAAACTTCTGACTCTACAATCTTCGTATTACCATGTTATTAATGAAATAAATTCCAGCATTTTCAACAAAACAGGCTGTCACAAGTGGTGTAATTGTCTCAAAAATGAGGTGGCCTGCTTCGGTGTCAGTAGTTGCAACTGGGGCTAGTATCTTCCTATCACCTCTCTTCGCAGAGGCTGGGACTGCAAGGGCAGATGGGTTTCTGTTCTGACCTCCTGAACATCCCATCTCCTTCAATTCCCTCCAGTTACAGTATTGTGTTGTCCAATAAGTTCCCTCTATTGAGCCGTGATGAGTAGTCAGTTCCTTTCAGAAAGACATGGCCCCATTTGAAGACACCAAAATGAAGAACCCATCTCTGCCCTTGGTAGTTTCATGCAACTGACAGTCATTTCCAAAAATGTTCTAGGCAACTCACATCCTTCTCTGGTACTTGAAGGCAGTCTATGATCACTACTAAGCATCTACAAACAGATGTTCCTGAAGATCACAGTCCTAAAAAAATGAGGAGAGGGAGACTGGACATTGCAGGGAACCTCAGGGGTGAGGACATGGTGGGTATTTGTAGGGTTCTACACAAGGCCACTGCTGCAAGCAGATGTGATACCTGATTTAGATACCCCCATACAACCTGCAACACATTTTGGGTGCCTGAAAACCATTTAATGGTTCAACCAGTGATTTTCTGTGTCATGTTGCATGCAATGTTGACTAATAGCTTTCATATACCAAGAAATATTATTTCTATCTGTACATCTATAGATTAGATGACATCTTTGGAAGCATACGTAACCACTGCCTGCTTCTGAAGAAATGCATGACCTGTAAATTATAGTGAAAACTGAATGAAATGCCAAAATTGCATTAAATGGCAAGAATATTAGTTACTTGATAGTCATAGGCTCTTGTGGGCTCCTTTCTATTTGTGGACTCAGAAACATGCTGGCAAAAAGAAAGTACACATGGTTTGGACTTTCTTGTCTGATACTAATCCCAGCACAACAGGGCTATAAAATGTTTTCATTAACATATATGTCTTCTACAGAGAGCTTCATGGAATAATACTGCCGAGAGAACTGCAATGTAGGAAATACCCATCCACAATTTATAAATCCTATCCATCTTGGCATGTCTCAGGGAGTATTATCAAGGCCCTGGAGAACTAGTGCAAATGCTACTCTTGCAGCTTGCATGGATAATTATTTATAAAAGTCTTAACTTTCCTTCTGCTGTCCCTGTGAACGATTATATCCAGGAGGCATTTGTTGTGTCTGTCTTGTTTGGCTCCAGCAGCTCCCAGAGGCATCGCACATGGGATGTTCTGGTAAAGCCCCTACCTTCCTGCTGGGCATAGACAAGAGGATTCAGCTATGCTGCACAGGTATTTCTCCCTGTGCTCTATCCTGTGAGAGCCAGTTTTCAGGTGGTAAATGACAGTCTAGGCTTTAATCACCTTGTGGGTGTACTGAAATGAATACTGGGGCATTTGCTTCTGGAGTGTTTCTGTACCCCACAATTTAAACCTCCCTGCTATTATCAGATATTTGATCCTATAAATATTGGCCAAATGCTCAGAATGGATGCCTGCTGTTCATAATGACAGCATCGGGCTAGCCTAAAAATTAAGTGAGTGCCATTGTCTTCTCCCTGGGTCCCTAACTGAACTACACTGCTGCCTGTTATACCCCACCAACAGGGCAAACAGCTCTCAGTACAGGTGATTCCCACCTCCGTGAGGGCAGGCACCCTGCTTCCAATCCCGCCTCATGTGGAGTCAGTGTGGAAGCTCTGAGCCATTCAAATGGCCCAAGAAATTGACATTCTGCAAGTCTGGGTTCAGGTAGAAACCTCAGCTCTAGACTAAGATCCACCCATGCCTGACAATACCACTGCTCACAGCTGCTGCCACCAGCCACAGCTAGCTGGGCAGGAAAATACACCACTGGTAGTGACCAAGTGTTACAGGCAGAGACTGTTTCTTGCTTAACCCTTTGCTTTGATTCAAACTGAGCAGATTGTGCCCCAAACCCAGCACACCCTTTCCATGCCTCTTTCCCAAATACAAAACGCAGCTCATCTCAAGGAGCTTCCAACCTAGCTATAAGTTTATAGCATAGGAAGAGGCAGATGGGAAAATACAATGAGGCAATGCTATGTATGGACCAGGGCACAGGGCACCTCAGCAGCCTCACTGCTGCAATAAATTTTGAGCCTCATAGCAAAGCGAAGTTGGAAACACATGAAAAAGCTTAAAATGACTTGTTGGAACACTGAAGAAGTAGGTAACACATTGTTTGATCCAGAATAAGAGCCAGTGCGGACACAGCACAACCGGCCAGGGAAGAGAGGACAAGATATGTACCTGCGCTGATAACCACAGACAAGGCGGTGAGGTGCACCAACGGTGGCGCAGGAGGTGGGACGGGCTGAGAAGGGTTTATCTTCAGCTGTGAACTGGACGGAGTACAGCAGGCTCAGGTGTGAGGTAAGGGAAACAGGCTGTCAGAGCAACCTGGCTGCCAGGAAGACACCAACCGCCTGAGCAGTCGTGGGGCAGGAACAGGGAAGAGGCCGCACTGTAGAGAGAATATATACTTATGTTCTAGGCGCAGCCTGGCAGACTAGGGTAGCATAAGGACGTTTATGGCTTGTTGGTGACTTCACTGCGTGACGCTGGCCCATAGTCCTGCTGGCAAGCGCCCCCGTTCGGACCCAACCGCCTCACGAACACGTTACTGTCCCACAGCTGCATTTGTTCCGAGCCTAAAGCCTCGCCGAGAGCCCGCCGCCATTTCACGGCACCCCCCGGCCCCACCTGCCGCCCGCCCCGCCCCTCCCCTCCCCTCCCCCCTCCGCGGCTGCCGCGGCGGCGGCGCACCCCTCCCCCGCCTTGTCCCGCGAGCCCATTTCCGCCTGGCCGGGCGCCGCGCGCCGGCCACCCCGCCCCCTCGCGGTGCTCAGTCATTCAGACCGGCACAGTCAATAACACGCTGACATCACCAGCGGCGCGCGGAGGGGGAGGGCCAGCGCCAGCGCCAGCACCGCCGGGCTAGGGGACAGCCCTGAGGGGAGGCCGTTAAGGGGGGGAAACGGCTGCAGGGAGGACACGGAGGGAGACTCCTGAGGGGAAACGGCTGAGGCCACAGCCCTTCTCCCTGTGTGTCCATAGCCACCTGTCTGTGGCCTCCGGTGCTCACAGTCCTCTGTCAAAACCTCTCTCCGTTCAAACACTATCCCTGCCCCCCCCCGCCGCCACCAGCGTCCCCACAAAATAAAGCAAGGGAAGGAGGCTGCTGGTGGCGGTGGTGAGGCTGTTTCTGGGGGCTATGTAGCCTGCAGCCCCTCGTACGGGGGGTGCCGGGTCTGTGGCAGCCCCCAACAACTTGAACGAACCCATGGGGTACACTCCTGCGACTAACGGGAGGGACTGCAAGGCCGACAGCTCTACACGTCAGTCACTGTTCCTAAATACAGAGTCCATATTGTGCTTGTGTTGTCTGCTCTGCCTGAGTGCGGAGGGGGAGGGGAGGGCGGTATAAAGGCATCGTCAGGCTGTGTCTTCCCATTCCTATACCAAAGGGAGAATATAAATTTTATAGATCTTCTTCATAATTCATAGCTTGCTTGCGGAAAAAAAAAATCATAATAGCTTGGTGTGATATGTCAGACATCTATAATTCATGGCGCTGAGATCACACAACCACCATACAGTGGGAGTTCAGAGTGAGATGTTTGTAATTAATCTGTGAAAAGAGAAACAAAGGCAATAAACTGGGAGGGACAATAAATGATGATGGTCAGATCCTTCCACCCGCACTGACATGGAATAACACTCAGCCAGAAAGCTTGAATAACCCCTGGCTAAAATGAATAAAATTAGCCAAGAAGCATGGTAAACAGTAAGTTTATCACTGGATGGTTCGTTACAAAGCAGATAGACATAGACCATACTGCCCTTTTGGGCAGCAAGGTGCCAAAAACAGTCGGATGGCCTAAACTTAAGCTAAGCTTAGACGGAGGTACGAGGAGGCAAGAGTGTTCAAGTCAGCTCTTGCTGCCAGGGAGGTGATGTAAGGGAGTACTGATGCCGGGCGGTGGGCACTGCAGGACACCCTCTGCCCTCATCCCGCAGGCTGGGGGACACCAGTGGGGGGAAGGCTGAGAAGCTTGTGATGCACTAGAAGCATTTGCATCAACCTTATTGACTCTGGCAGGACTGGGGCATATGCTGAAGTGCTTTGCTGAACAGGAAAGTTTCCTTGAATTGGAGCCTGAACGAGGGTTTGAACAATTTGTGCTACTAATTAAGATGGGATGCAGCAGTGGAATGAGCCAAAGTTGCTTCCTAATTGGAAACAGTGAGCTGGAAATCTCCAGAACCCCTTCCTCTTGCTATTGTCTATTTTCATCCTGGTGAAGCTAAAGCTGGTAACTGCGATGTGACAGCTTAAAAGCTCCCTGTGGTTCCTCACAATAGGCAAACCATCTACACTGGTCTTCAAACGATACAGGGGGATCTTGTAAGACTGCATGGACAATCAAAGAAGGGGTAGAGAATAATTTCTTCTGAAGTGGATGCTACAAGGAAACTGGAAAAAGAAATCCTTGTCCTTCTGGGAGCTTGTCTAGTGCATGGCTTTAACCAAACCAAAAATAATGGTGCAGGGTCCATTGACAAAACTATGTGTCACAATTAAATCATTTCATCTAAGATAAACAAGCCATAGGATAGAGGGGCGTCGTAGTGAGTCAGGAGTGAGTCCAAATGGAAGCCCGGGCCTTGCTCCCAGGGAGTTGTGATAGTGCCAATGCACGGATGCTGGAGGCCAGAGGCATTCAGTGTTTTGTTTACTCATTTGTTACTCTCTCAAAAAATAATTGGTTTTCTTTTGTTGCTTGTTTGTTTGTTCGGCTGTTTGCATTCTTTGGATTCAATTTCTCTTGTAATATGGCCTTGATTTGCATTGCGAGGATCCGTGTTTATTTATTATAGAATCACAAAATGGCTTGGGTTGGAAGGGGTCTTTAAGATCATCTAGTTCCAACTCCTTCCACTAGACCAGGTTGCTCAATGCCCCGTCCAAACTGGCCTTGATGCCAGGGATGGGGCAGCCACAGCTTCTCTGGGAAACCTGTGCCAGGGTCTCACCACCTATGTGCAAGGCCTTATTTTATTAGTTTATTTATTTAAAAAATAAGCTGCTGGCCCTTGCAAAAGGACAATGGCTACATGGTGACAAGGAGAATCAGGAGCCTCAGCCCCAGTCTCCACGGCCTGTACCGCTTCCATCCCAACCTGCACGATCCTGGTTGTTGCTGCTCTTTGCAGGCAGCTCCGAGCCTGAGGCATTGGGGTGCTTGCAGGGAGGTGCCTGTCGGCTCGATATAGTGTTAACGGTGAAATCCACAAAATCCCTGTTTATAGTCCCCATAGCATTCTTGGTCTAACGCAATTTGAATCTGGGCTCTGCGAGTCTCAGTGATGCCCTCTGGTGATATGGACCGAGGGGCGCCGCTGACAGCGCACAGGTCCCCCCCAGTGGGGTCACGGTTGGTGGAAGTGTCGCACGGAGGGCACTTTTCCAGCTGTATAGGTCCTCAGGGGAAAGTAAGGAGAAATTGGGACTTTATCAGGTTCTCCAGCTTCTCAACTCAGCCTGCCAATCACTTTGTGTCGCGCAAGTCCCTGCAGAATCCTGGTGTTTTTCAGCATCTGGGAAATAGCTTAGGGGAACGCCTGAGCATCTGCTGCCTCCTACTGAAGTTTTGGGGAGTCAGGAAGAGGGGCCCTGTGACCTCAGATCAGGTGCCCTGATGAGCTGATCCAGTTACCACACAGCAGAACACACTGGAATTAATGTTTTTGACCTTAACTGGCTCTAGCGTAGCCATGCAAAAAGTGTGCGATTGTGCTAATCTGCCCCAAAGGAGCGTGTGAGGCCCAATTCATTGTTGTGGGTATGGTGCTGAGAGCTCCTGGCACAAAAACCTTTTTCAAGTGCAGAGTATTTTCCTCTACATTTTGTTGGTTTTGCCTAGGAGCTGCCTGTGGCTGAGAAGAGCAGCCTGGTTACCTAACTCATGTCTGACAGTGGGACCTAGGCAGTGTTACACTTCACTTTGTTGTTATTTCTCCTGCAGTGTTTGTGTAACAATATTCTATAAGGGAAATTATACAGAAATCCCCATTATAAAAGGAAGAGTGGGCAAACAGGTGGAAGAATAAGACTCTGTCTTGACAATCTCTCTTCCTGACTGCAGCCCAGCATACACAACACAAGCTTGGGCTGAATTACCCCAAAATATCACATGTGAGTTTTCCCAGGATTTAATGACTGGGATCCACAGTGCCTGCACAGATCAGATCTAAGAGTGGATAGCAAGAACCGCAGAGCAGTAGATGTACTGGTCCAGTCCAAACCCAACAGCTAACATCTGCGCCTATCCACCTGTGCTTTGTAGCAGGCTCAGTCTGAACATGTGCATTTAAGCTGTAGCAAATATTGTCTTCCTAGCCATATGTCTTAAACCCTTCAGAAAAGCCAAAACACTGGAATAGTCTCCCTGGCTGGACTGCCTGGAACCTTTGTGGCCGTGGTCTTCCTGTTCATTCCCAGCCTTCCCCTCACCTCACGTCCTGGTGGTGGGGGTGCCATCACGGCATGTCTTGGAGGTTTTGGTGGGAATTGTAAGGGCTACAGAAGAAAATGCGCTTGGCCACATCAAGGCGAGGGAGAAATCAAAAAATATCTTCTGAATTTTCACAGTCCTCTTTAAAAAAAAGAAAAAAAAAAAGGAAATAGGCAGGCAGAGAAAGCCAATCTGGGTGTATAAATAACCAGTAAATGGCAGGGTGTTCACCCTTCCCACACTGCGGATTACCTAACGCATTGCATTGCTCATTACAGCTCAAGATGGGGGAGCTGCCAGCAGAGCAGTGCCGTGCCTGATAACCAGAGCAGCCCACAGTTTTGCAAGCTCGCATTCATGCTCTGAAACGTAAACAAGGCAGAGCCTCTTCCTCACCGCTGTGAACGCAGTCACCCCATGTCCCAGGGGCCTGGAACAGCCCACTGCATGAGATTAGCCAGCCCAAATCAAAGAATAGCAGACGTGTTGGAGTGGAATATGCAAACACATACAAAAAAATGGTTCAGGCTTCCACATTTTCTCAGGAATCAGATATATAAGAAGTGTAGGAATCCTCTCCCTTACCCAGGCAGTCAGGGCAGCGCAGGAAAGGCCATGGCAGAGAGCCATAAGCCCCAGCTTGGCCTTCTCTGGGGTGACGGGACACAGAGTTCACACTGCCCCTTGCTCATCAGACCTCCTGGTACACATCTGCTCAGCGCCTTTTTCACCTCTGAGCTGAAAGCCTCCTCAAGTGCCTGCCTTCCCAGTAGGGTGGTGAATTAGGAGAGAGCCAGCAAATTGCTGCAATCAATAGTAGTAATAATGGCGCCGTTCATCCAACAGTCTCAAAGTGCTTGGCAAAACCAGACTGACATGCTTTCCTACCCACCTGGTGCAGCAAGTGAACAGTATTACACATTGCATAGTGGATGAGTGAGATGTGTGGTGACACAGTGGCAGTCAGCAAATGGCATAGCGACCAAAGCCTGAGCAGCATCTGCTTATAATCACTTGTAATTTTGAGTTGGCCTCTGTGTTCAAATCAGTTGCTAGGCTTTTGATACTGCAATTCTTTAAACAGAAATAGGATGAAGGCAGGCACCTGTTTTTTTGTACCTGTCCCCTTCCTGCTCAGGACTCATAGCCAGACTTCTCAGTTTAACCCTGTCTTTATGATGTGTTGAAATCAAAATGCTCATGCGAACATCCTGAAACACTGGGGATTTTCAGCTCAGATCTGAACTTGAAGCTGTTCTCCCAGGCTTTTCAGCGCTTGCTATTTTTAGCTTCATGTCAAAAAGTCGAAGCAGCACGTGGTAAGACGTTATGACTCTTAAAATTACTGTAAAAATGTTCCAGGGAATGATACCAATTCATCAAAAGCAAGTTCGTTGCGTGAGATAACTCTATGGCCTTTGATGTTGTATTGAACTTGTGGGTCACTTAGTATTAATGTTACTGCAATTTCTTTAGCAATAACCCAGTGATTACAAAAGGGAAGTAGCCATTAATGTGGTAAAAGGCACACCTAAGCAAGGATGTTTACTCATGTAGACTGAGAAGGAGAGGATTAGACACTCTTCAAGATGTTTTCTGTAACTCTTTTTTATGATACTAAAGATAAGGACCTGTTCTACCTTCCCCCACAACCAGATGGAGTGTTGCAGTTGGAAAACAGTGCCCTGGCCTTTGAAGTGAAGGATGTGAAGGCAGACATCAAGCAAAGAGACCTCTTTGTTGGCCATGAAGCCAAGACGATCTGCTTACAACACGCACAAAGGCTGTAAGATGACCTCTCGTTAACACCCAGACATATC